CCTAAATTAGATGAAAAAATAGCGATATAGTGACAGGTCGGAGATGCTCTAATGCACCAGTTTTTTTGATAAATTCGCCTACAAATTGCATTACTGGGATTTGAACTCATGACAATTCAAAGTGTACCAGGGTACTAACAATTAAAGAAATATCCGGCTCAAACAGTGGATTGCCCTCTTATAACTGGAAATGGCTTTGGAAACTCGATGTGCCACCAAAAATTCGGGTATTCTTATGGAGAGCATGCATGGAAGCTTTACTGCGTAGAGTTGAATTGTTTCGGCGGATAATTGTCTCGGACCCGTTGTGCGATATTTGTGGAATAGAATCCGATTCCTTACCAAATATTTTCTTTCACTGCCATTGGCGACATGGATCTCCCAGTTTGGAGTTGGGTGAGCAGATTGGCCTGAAAACTTTCCACATAGCAGTTTCACCTGGCTGCAGTGGTTCTTTGAAGCATTTGAGATTGTCAGAATAAACTGTTGCATAGTGATGAATACCAGGCATTTGGGGGAGCATGGTGATGAATATCGGGCATTTGGGGAAATTGTGAGATGGAGTAGCACGTACATCGATGCTCGTTTGAGTCGTAACGTCGTCGACAAGCGATCCAAGGCTATCTTGTGGTCTCCACCACCAATGGGGGTGATTAAAGTTAACATTGACGCAGTTTTCCCGGAAGGTAATGGTCACTATTACACATTTATGGTTGCTAGAGATTCACAAGGTCAAAGTAAGCGGTGGAAAATTTTCGGCATCTTGGCCGAGTGTTATCTACCGAGGGGGAAGCTCGGGCCGTTTTACAAGCATACTCTTCTGGCGTTAAGCTTCGGATGGCCTGACATTGTTATTGAGGGTGATTGTCTCCCTGTGATAAATGTGTTTAATGGCCGATGTTCTTTACTTACTTCATTCGGCGCTATTATTGAGGCGGTTTTAGCTCACTCTTGTCTCTTCTTTTCTATTTCCTTTTCTTTTGTAAGGCGTGATGTGTTGGTTGGAATACCTACACGCAAGTGCACGTATCGTACAAGTAATAAAGTAGATTTTTAAGTCCAAGTATCGATCCCACAGATAATATTTAATTATTTAATCATAGACGCTAAATCCTAGCAATTATTATCAAGCCCACCCTACACAGTCGAAAACACATTAATAAACTAAATTAAACTAAAGCAATTAAAAACAAATTAAAAAGGCAAAAACAAGAAAGCAATTTAGAACGAAGATTTAATCAAAGTAAACAAACCTAGGATTTTATTCTTCCCCCTATAAGATTATTAATTCCCAAATTCTTTCAATTATGCAAGTTATTCTTCCGATTCATGCGATTAACAGTAACATAAAAACAGATAAAGTGGCCAGTTTCATGAACTTAATAAAACAAGTAGAAGAAATAATCCGGAATTAAAACTTGCATAAAATCATAAAATTGGGTTCATAAATCCCACAAAGGGTTCAAAATAAAATTCTAGAAACTAAAAACTTAGCTACTCGTAATTCTTATGAAAAACAAAATAGAGTAAATAAAAGAAATAAGAAAACTATGCTTGAGTCTTCGATATTCGTTCTTCGCGTTTTGTGGTGTAAAATTTTCGTCCTTATGGTGTAGAGACTTGTTTTTATAGGCTTTTCTTGATAAGGAAGTAGTGGAAACCTAATAGGAATCAATTTCTGTCACTTTCCCCCATCGGGATTTGTTCTTCAATTTTCCCCATCTTGGAGTCAGAATTTTGGAATGTTGCGTAAATAAGAATTGTAGCTCTTGAAATTAGCTTTCCAATGCCGCCAAACTCAGCTGATTTGGAGTTCGTATGAGAGAGATATGCTCGAAATGGTTGACACTGCCAAAGCTGTGGCGAGATTCCTTCTTCCAATTTGATTTATTTCCTTATTTGCAACTTTTTCCTTTTTTTTTGATCTTTTTTCCTTCATGGACATATAATTCTCGTTTTTCACCTATAAAACACAAAATTAATCGATTAAAGCACATATATAATTAAATCTAAATAAAAGATCCACGTAAAGTAAACGTATTGAGCGTTAAATCTACACTCAACATGATGCCAATAAACTAGGTTACGATATTGTTTCGCATGAGAATATGGATTCTTTGTAAGGTATGGCCCTCCCCCTGTTTCTGCCAATGGGTGCCTAATATAATAATGTTTTCCCCTCCAAAAAATCTCCGAGACAACATGTGTAAAAGAATTAAAGAATGAGGATGAGACTCCTCTCTACAGCCTAAAGGGGAAGTTCTCATTAAAGCAGTCCTACAAGCTTACCCGAGGGCATTATTCAAGAACTCGAATTGGTCATTAAAAGATCTTGGGATACTGCGCAACAAAAAAATTGGAGGCCTTTGATTTTGTGACTTGAAGTGCTTCAATTTAGCCATCCCCACAAAGTAAGCTTGCCAAGTTCTTACGGAGCCTCACACGCTCTTATCGTGACTCCTAATTTTTTTAAATACTTTCCACACGGAGATTTATTCTCGTCTAACAATGTTGGTTCTCGACCGTCAACAACTTGGAGAAGTATCTTTGCGGCAATTCCTATCTAGAATTATTACTCGAAGACTCATTCGGCTTTTCCGAACAAGGTTGCTGATATTATAGATCAAACTAATGACACTTGGGATGTATCGCTAATTGATGAAACATTTTGGCCGGTTAATAAAGATGGGATCCTTGCGCGTCCAGTGGGCGGATCTCTCTCGATGGATAAAACTATTAGGAACCGTACCACAAATGGAACTTCTCAGTAAAATCATGCTATCTTTGGATTTTTCACATGTTGACTCTGATTCTATTGATTCAAATTGCGATTAAAAAATCGGGTTTTTATTTATAAATACCTATCTCAATGTTTCAAATGCTATTCAGTTCCCATGTCTTTACTTTAATTATGGACTCCCCCTTTTAAGTTTCACTTACAAATAGCTTCCTATCCCCTTGAAATGTCTGTAATGTCCTTCATTAAATGATTTTGTATTTTATTTTTCTTCTACCGTAACCAAACACCCCATATTTATAATCCAACAAAAAAAGAAAATGTAAGTTTTATTCAACAATGATTTTCTACATAATAAATCATCTCATATATTTTTATTTATTAACTATTCAATTTTATTTTTTCCAACTGTGGTTTGGGTGATCGGAACTCCGGTTAGCTGATTCAGCATTATTTAACTTCAACATTATTTGAAATTCATTTTTTTTCTTTTAAATTTTTTTATTATTTTGATTTTTTTTTGGCGGCATGTTGTCGGAGCCCTGATTAGTTGACTTGCATTAGCTGACGTCCATTTTTTTTTCTTTAGCAACAGGACGTTGAAACTCTGATTAGCTGACTTTGTATTAACTGACATACAATTTTTTTTCTTTTCCTTTTAACTCTTTTTCTTAACGGCGCGTCTTTAGGCTCTGATTAGCTGACTAAGTATTGGCTGACACCCGACTTTTTTAGCGTTAATGTCAGCTAATCGTAGCTTCAATGATCTGTCATAGGAGAAAAAAAAGATCGGATGTCAACTAATGTTGAAGTGAGCTAATGCAAACTCAATTAATGCAAGTCATCTATTAAAGCTCCGACGACCCACCGCCGGAGAAAAAAAAAAGAATAAAAAAGAGATATAGGCTAATGTTGAAGTTAATTGATGCTGAATCAGCTAACTGTGACTCTGATAACCCACCGTCAGAAAAGAAAAAAAGAAAAAATATGAAATGACAGCTAATGTCGAGTCAGCTAATCGAAGCTCCAAAGCCCCAGCCACCATCGAAAAAAAAATCTAAAAAAGAAAAAAAGAAAATGTCAAATAGGACTGGACCTGTTGGACGAAATGAAATGAAATTAAATGAAGGTGGGTTGGGCTTATCTGAAATAAAATTATGTAGAATTATTTTAAAAGTTTATGTTTTTGTGAATTTATTAGAAATAAAAATAAAAGAGTGAATTTTATTTGTAAAACTTCATTGCATATAGACCTAGCTCAATTCACCCGTAGAATAAAAGAGTGAATTTTATTTGTAAAACTTCATTGCTTATTTTTTTTTTTTTTTTTTTTTTTTTTAATCAGGATCAGGATCAGGATGTATAGTTCCTTATCTGATAGAAATGAAGATATAGAAATGAGATCACATTCATATGGACTAATAGAAACAAAGATATAGTCAAACCTCCAATCGACTTCACTACTCCCATCTCCATCGCTCCCTCCTAAGCTGTAAGTATTACCTCTCTCTCTCTCTCTCTCTCTATATATATATAGAGATAAAATATATATATATTTATCCTTTTGTTTGAACAGAGTGTATTAATAAAATAAACTGAAGAAAATGGATGCTTCTAATGGAGATTGCTGCCTTGGATGGGCTGCCAGAGATCCCTCTGGTTTTCTCTCACCTTACAAATTCACCCGCAGGTTTCCATCCAATCAAATCTCGTTTCTTGATTTTATCCATCTGGGTTTTTTTTTTTAATTAATAAAAATAAAAGCATATTCTTGATTCGTTTCCTCTACTTTTATTCCACAGTTACTCAAAACTTTCGAATAAAAAAATAAAAAAAAATAAAAAAAAATGATGATTTTAATTTCTACGCAGGCCTGTTGGTAGTGACGATGTTTCGATAAGTATACAGTACTGCGGTGTGTGTTTTGCTGACGTCATTTGGACAAGAAACAAACTTGGCCATTCTAATTATCCTCTAGTACCCGGGTAATTTATTTACATATAATTAATTCGCCGAATTTTAAATATCCCCACGAATTTGTATAATTTTTGAACTCTTGCTGCTAATATGTAGGCACGAGATTGTTGGGATCGTGACGGAGGTCGGATCGAACGTTGGCCGCTTCAAAATCGGCGACCATGTCGGGGTCGGAACTTACGTTAATTCTTGCAGAGAGTGCGATTACTGCGATAGTAAATTAGAAGTTCATTGCTCTAAAGGTGCAGTCTTTACATTCGACGGTGTCGATGCTGACGGTACTATTACTAAGGGCGGATATTCGAACTACATTGTCGTTCACGAAAGGCACGTAACCCTTAAAACTTATTTCTCGTAATTTTAGTGAATCATATTAAGTGGATCGGAAGAATCTTTTTTTTTTTTCTTATCTATTTTTGTTTTTTAATGATCAATAGGTACTGCTACACGATACCCGAAAACTACCCTCCACAATTAGCAGCACCGTTGCTATGTGCAGGAATTACCGTTTATACCCCTATGATACGGCATAACATGAACCAACCCGGAAAGTCGTTAGGTGTGGTTGGTCTAGGTGGGCTCGGCCACTTGGCCGTGAAATTCGGAAAAGCGTTTGGATTGAAAGTGACGGTTTTTAGTACAAGTATATCCAAGAGGGAAGAGGCGTTGAATCTTTTAGGGGCGGACAATTTCGTCATTTCTTCCGACGAAAAGCAGATGAGGGTAATTTCTTTAGCTTCTCAATGTTTAAAGTGCCAAATAATGTTAGTTTAAAGAACTGTTGTAGTTTTTTTAAGGGTTTATTGCACGGCATACATGTGTTTACTCTAATTGTTAAAAGAGTTCTCGTGTTATTAATATTAGCAAACTCCCCCTAAAAAGTTACCGTTTAGGGGGTTGTTGCTAATATTAATAACACATAAGAGTTTTTTTTCGCATTTCAATATAACACATGGCACCAACTGCAATAAACAGCTGTTTTAAATACGCTGATTGTTAAAAAAATTCCTCGTGTTATTGCTATTTGCAAACACCTCCCACGCTTCAATTTATCTAGCTAACTATGCCCTAAAAATTTCACCGTTTAGGGAGTTGTACGCTTTAAAAAAATCATCATACGTTTTTTTTTTGGCTAATGTTAAAAACACGAAGAGTTTTTTTAGAAATTTGATATAGTGTAGGGTGCTAAATGCAATAAACTCTTGTTTTAAACTTGGTAATTATATGTATTGCTTGGTGCAGGGTTTGGAGAAATCGTTTGATTTCATCATAAACACAGCATCGGGAGATATCTCGTTCGATTTATACTTGTCGTTGTTGAAGACAGCTGGCGTGCTTGCATTGGTTGGATTTCCTAGTGAAGTTAAGTTCAGTCCGGGAAGCCTTTCTCTAGGTATGATGATGTCACTTTTTTTGTCCAAATATGTTTATAATACATTAATTGTGAATCTGTCGATTAATTGCTCGGGTTATTGAGGCGAATACTCGTTATTTATTTATTTATTTTTTTTTTTTTTTGCGTAGGTGCGAAAACAATTACAGGAAGTATAACGGGTGGAACGAAGCAGACACAGGAGATGCTGGATTTTTGTGCTGCCCACAAGATTTATCCTGAAATAGAATTGATCCCTATTCAGTACTCAAACAAGGCGCTCGAGAGGCTGATAAAGAAGGATGTGAAATATCGGTTTGTGATCGATATTGCCAATTCTCTAAAGGGAGATTTATAGTTCTTTTTTTTTTTTTTAATCGCAGAGAGAAGAAGGTCCGTTTGGACACTATTTGCTTAAATAAGTAGCCGGTTCTTGTTACTGCTACATAATCTCATCTAGTTCGAGGACAACAGACGCTGAACCATATATTCCACAGATATACCGAGAAATTTATATTGCGCTTTTTACCGTCTAAACGGTTGATATCTATGTATTTTACTATCATTAGGCAGCAGTAGTCTTATCTTTGCTAAAAACCGGAGAATTTTGAATAATAATGCTTATTATTGACTTACTGTGTTGCGCTTTGTTTTGTTGTTAATTTGCATTTTTGAATGGAATTTATTTATTCCGGTAACTGAATTTTCTTGCGAGCGCTAGTAGATTTGGGGGGTTGCCTTCGATAACACGCACGATGAAATTGTTATCTGGCTGATGAAAGAATACAGAGATGCAAAATTGTGGACGAAGGAATTTGTTATTAGAAAAAAGTGGAGTATGTTTGCGGTGGTTGTGACGACTGTTGCAAAGTTGTTTACCCTACGAGAGTTTTCGAAGATGGAAATATGCAATCAGATTTAGAAAAGGTGACACAGCACTTGATCATAAATTAAAATGACAAAAATATTCATAGATATTACATCTATTCATAGAAGGATTACACTACTCTTTCTCGATCGGGAAAGAAGAATAAAACTTGGTCCAAAATTGTGTCTTTATTTATTTATTTATTTATTTATTTATAATCATGTTTAGAAGGATCGGAGGATGAATGGCGTTCCCAAGTACGATCCATAAAACTTGATTCAGCGGTTGAATATTTTCAATCTTAATCAACATCATGTACTCAGCGTCGACAAGAAACATCTTTCTGCAAATCAAATTTCACCAACTCAAAAATACGTCAGCTTGTTCCGAAAAGACGATAGCACAAGTGCTTACATGTTCATGACATAAGCGAGATTCGCTTTTTCAATCTCACCAATACTGAATCAGTAATTCATAATGCTCCCAAAATTCTTACTATAAACTCAAGAGTTCGAAACGACAAAAGAAAAAAAAAAAAAAGAAAAAAGAAAAAAGAAAGAGCACAAAATTACCAGGACTAGTGATGCAGAATCCAGTGGCGTACGTCATTCCTAAGCACTTGGCCAAACTTGCCAACCGTAAAAAACTCGGAGCGATCGGTAGTGCCGTATTGCCTATACTGGCTATTAGGTCCACTCGGCCTCATCATCATTGAAATAGTGGGAAAGGGTTTAGGCCAAACGTTTCTTGCAGTAAAAAGATGCCTATCCGATTCCTTATTATCGATACTTCTCCCGTTATTTTTTGTGAGGCCGCTCTTATTACTATTATTTTCGAGGTGTGACGGGCCCTTCAATTGCTTTGTCATGTTAGTGGGAGGCACTCTGATTTGAGCCTCAGGCTTCAGTTTATCAAGCCAACGAAGAATCCAGTTCCCAACATTCCGACCAACTTCAATGTCTCTTTCTTGTACCTTGAGATGAACTTTGAGCGCCACATCGAATATATTTCGTGTTCGTCTGAAAAATGCAAATCAAAGCATAAGCATTATGTACTAAATCGGATAAGCCCAACTCACGAGATTTCTATGGCAAAGATGTTGGATTTATCTGCTCGACGGAATAATTGATTATTTGCTCTTTTTCTTGTTTTCCTTTATTACGTAAGTTGGGATAGTTAATTAACAATTGTTAGTAACCTAGTTTCTGCAAGTGAAAGTAGGGTTGATTTTCGTTGTTTAAATAGAAGTAGGGTTATTGAGTTAACAAATTTATTACTCAAGTTTTGCGTGGAAAGAGTACTTACGTTTTGCAGATTGACCAAAAAAGGCGACGATGGTGAGATCATTCAGATGTAATTAGGATAGAAAAACACGAGCTGGCACCAAGTGGATAGGTTATGCAATAATAATTCCAAAAAAAATAATGAAATAAAAGAATCGATTAGAAGAAATAATTACTTTAGTCGTGTTGAATCAATTGAGCTCAATTGGAAGATTCTCTTTAACTCAAACATTTGTCGTTAAGTACTATAATTTCTCGTAAGAATCAAATTCATGAGATTTTCTCAAAGTGAAACTCGTCATTAAGGTAAATATACTTTTGTCTACTTCTCACAGGTGTCCAGAGCCTAAAAACGACGACTAATTATTTTAAGTACCGTACATTACCAATCTAATAAGATTAGAAAAGGCTTAAACTAACTAAAAGTTGTCGATTACAACAATTGACTTTGCATCTCTAACATCATTGAAGTCAGTTTACATGTATTAATGTGGAAATAAACTGTTCGAACGAAAAACGACAAAATTCCGAACACTCGAATTAACTCGAAAATAAGAGATTAGTACCTCAAAGATTAAGGAACCATATTTATCCCTTTATCACCCAATTCTTCGAGCTTTTAATTAATTTCCCCAGTCTAATTCTATCGTTCTTATCTAGGTTGAAGAACGAATTTCTTACAAACTAACGAAGATCGCCAATTCACGCGTAATCGATGTACAATTAAACCTCTACAAATTAATACAGTCCAAAATTCTATTAAATTAGCGAAATATTAAATTATCAAACTGATAATTTAGTATGTTTTTACCGATTCGGGATCGGAAGAAATTTTTATTTAAGCGATGTTATAAATTTATCGAGCACGAAACCATATTGACTATGCACCACCATATTTGAAGTATTCACACACACACACACACACACACACACAAAACGAAAGAAGCCAGTCTTCCACAAATCGAATACCAATTACATGAACTAAGGAGAAAACTTGATCCTCAATACAATAAAAATGAAAAAACTAAAACTAAAATAGAGATCCCCAAACAACAACCTCAGAATGAGATGATGAGAACGAAATCGAGGAAATTGTAAAAATAATAAAGGGGGTCAAAGAATGGAGAAATGATAGAGAAACGAAATACCTTTGAACGAATTGGCGAATCTTAGGGTGTTTAGGTGTGATTAGCTTCCGCTGAATTTTGAGAGCAAGTTTATAAGTTCTTTTCAGACCTAGGAAATACGCCGTTCCCAATGTTATCTCCCATAGCACCATCTTTACCACTGCTCCTCTCTCTCTCTCTATTCTCTCTCTCTCTTATCTCTCTCTCTCTCTCTGGATTCAATTTCAATGGCAATTTATTTACAAAAAGGGATTTCGTTTTTCGCAAGTCATTTGAAGATGCTGAGGGAATTTTCGTGTCGAAGGGGCTTTCAATTTGCCGCTGTGTGTATGTGTGTGTGAGGTATGTATGTGGTATTGTCACGTGGAGTATTTTCAGAGACTTCATCCACACCGTTGAATTATGGGTATATATATCATTTTACTTTTTCCACTTTTCAAACCCACCTTTCATAGTTAATTAAGATTCCCAAATTAACAAAAACTTCTTCCCAAATTGATGAAATTCTCTTCCAAGTTCGACAAAATTAGTTCTTTGCTCTTCAAAACCAGGGTGATATGTGGTGGATAAATGTCAAATGACATTTATAGCTTTAAAGGACGAAATCACCCTTCCAAGTTACTCAAACCCGATGAGAAATACACATTTTGAGCAAAGTGCACCGAGTTGTATATATAATTCAAAGGGGGACAGTCTCAATTTTGAGGGGAAAAAAGTGCAAAAATGACATTTTTTAGGGGGCGAAGTGCGATTTGCTCAATTATAATTTTCGTACGAAAGGGTGGTTTACATGGTAGGGGTAAATCATCATTTTGATAGTTGATAGATATTGCTTGAAGCACCTTTCCACGAGGTAGTGTCAAGTGTTTGGTATAAAACATTTATCATCTAAATCACAATTAGCAAAATATATTTAGTAAGGGCCTTAGGATATAGGTCCCTAGTCACAAAACTTATTAGAACTAAATGACAAGTCCAACTAAACCTTAGCTTCACATCATTTATAAAATTCATTAGAAGAATACCCTTTTACTCATAAATTCAAAAATGCATTAAATAAATTCCAAACTATATTTATCATTGTATTTATTATGCATTTAATATTTCAAATTTTCATATAACATTTTTTTTACAGAATATTTCGTTTATCTTCCTTTTTTTTCTTTCTTCGTTTTATCATTTTATACATTATTATAAAAACTTCTTTTTTCTTTTTTCCTTTTTTTCTACGTAATATTGAAAATTACAAAAAACAAAAACAAAAAGCATGCTATTTTTTTTTTCAATTTACATATTTTTTAATTTGTTTGTAGTAGACTATCGTATACTACAATGTATTATAGTATACTTGGGTGTGCTAAACTATAGTATACTACAGTGTAATATAGTATAGTATAGTATACTATACTTTACGACCAAACCCTAGCCGCCAACAATTTTCAGCCGCCGCCAACCCTAGCAGTTACCGCTCGCAACCGCCGCGAGTGTAGTCACCAACCAACTTTGGAAAAACCTAAATCCACCATATGAACCCAAATCAAGCAAAATCTCTTAAAAATAAGAAAATTAGATGCGATTAATCAGTTAAAATATGCTTTCAATAACACCCCAACCATAATCACAACCCCCACCACACAACCCCATGTCGTCGCCTCCTCCACCACGCCTCCACTCGCCGTCGCCACCGTCGCCTCCACCATGCCTCCTGCTGCCGCCTCCACCACGCTGCCCCACGCCGCCGCCTCCACCACGCCGCCCCTGCTCCTCCCTCCATCACCGGCGGCGGCGACGGCCTCCATGCTGCAATGGAAAAAAAAAGAGAGAGTGAAGAGAGAGAAAGGGAGATAGGAGCGTGAGATAGAGAACGGTGAGAGAGAGAGAACGTGATAGAGAGAAAACGAAAGAAAGAAAAATAAATCTAAATTGAAGAAACGTGAATGTATAGGTTATATGATTTAGGGTATAAGGGTAAGATAGGAAAAAAAATTAGGGACGTGGCTCATATATTATTTTAAATATTTTAAAGTAAGGATTTAATTAAAAGATATGATTTGAACTTGTCATTTAGTTCAAATTAGGTTTCGTTTGAGGGGCTCGTGGCATATTACCCCTATTTATTATCCCTTCAAACAATTCATGGAGCCCCCGGGTAGATCGGTCAGAAACCCGACCCACCAGTTAGGTCAATATGACCATTGGCAAACGGCCAACAAATCGCGACCCTTCATCTTCAACAAATCGTGGCATTTCTATAATATTTGGTAAGCCTGGGGTCACGAAGTGATAATAAGCCACTCGCCTTTAGAACAAAAAAAAACTATAACGAAACAAGTGCTTACACAAGGAAATATCCTGCAAATACATCTCCAAAGGAACAAAATACGCGCCCCTAAAAGGAATCCATGTCCAATTATAACCTGACCTCTCGAATTCTGTGTCTTCGATTACACTGACATCATCTTCGTTTAAGGCGTAAAAAAAAAGAGAGAAAATAGAAGGGAGAAAATTATCGTGATTTTCTCTTATTCTTATTCTGTGAAGGTTTTTGACTTCTTGGCTTGACGACTTCCATGGAGGTGTTTGGCAGGTTAGGTTGAGGTTCTTCAGGAAGAGTGGTGATCAGAAATTTCTTGTTCGAGCCAACGATGTTACATATTTGCTTCAGCATACTCCTACCCCTCATCCACTTCAGCATCAATTTCATGTGCGTTTTGCTGCTTAATCCACTTATACCAGCATCCTGCATTATTCGAAAAAGTTGTATTTTCACGACCGATATGCAACTTTTTATGCAGAAAGAAAAGAGAAAACATGTTCGAGAGTAAGTTTAAATCTAGCCATGCAGATGAAAATTTTCGACACGTATAAACATTTTGATCTGAGGGTCACTAATAAAGAGCTGAGAACAACGACTTATCAGTCAATTAATAAAGATGTCGCATGTGCATAGACTACATTTTTAAGAGCACCAGAAAAGGGGAAGGAAAAAAAAACCCTAATTACAATGAGATTAAATGGTGGCTTATGAAGATTAACAATGTAAAAGCCGTTGTTATTATCGCAGTGGTGACTCGGTTCTTGCCCATTTGGAGAATCAATGACAAGTGAGGTTCACTCACAAGTCAACAGCACATAACGCAGTGCACTACTCAGAAAAAAAGCATTTGACTTTAATGATGCAAGTGTTGCAACAAAAACGAATGGTCAAAAGATAAGCATGAGGAGCAACGGCCATACATATATATATATATATATATATATATATATATATATATATATATATATATATATATATATATATATATATATATATATATATATATATATATGGAAACATCTCTCTAACTAGAAGATAAAACTACCCAAATCTATTTTACTATTAACTGGAGAGATATAAATCGGATATTTGTTTTATTAGTTAGAGCAGCTAGAGCTTTGGTCCATCAATTTCAATAATACAATGCCCCTACATCGTACTGTTTTACGATGTAATTAGAGTGACTAGAGCTTATAATTGATGGAAGATTTATCCATAATATCTTAGTTCTCGAAAAATGTTCCAACTTTTAGCAAACTAACCCAAAAGACAAGAGCGGTGGAGTAATAAATTGCAGAAGTGAGAACTATGCCATTGCGTGGTGTGAGTTTTTCAATAAGACTAAAATTAGCACATGCTAATCGCCAAGCATATAAAAGACTGTCCTCATTCCAACAAAAAATACATATGAATTAAATTAGGATTCATCTCGTGAGTCGTGCCAAACACTATAGTTAAACTTCAAATAACTATGTTTAACTGAAGGAATGATGAGTTATAGCTATAAAAACAAATTAAGGAGAACCCTCTGCGATACATAATACTTGGGGCATCATAAGAACGAGAAAAAAGAGTTGAAATATGCAAATCTGGAAAAAAAATGAAGCTTTTGGCTTTATATAAAACATAATGGAGCAGACATTCGAAGGCCATAGGCGATCGTAACCAAGAATCTACACTCTATCTCAAATATACGTCTCAATCAAAGCCCCAAGTTATATACAAGATAACGAAATTTCGCACACTCGGGTATGAAACATTTCCGGGATTTCACTTTAGCACATTTATTCGTATTTCGAGATACTGAACCGTGATTATGAAACATTTCCTTCATCCAAAACAACAAGATCAGAAGTGACACGAAAATCACAGAGCTTCATCACCGATTTCGGCCACAAAAGAACAGTATTATAACTTTAAATCATGAGATGAATTTTTTTTTTTCTCGAATCCATTTGGACCTATGTTTCAAACTTCAATCAATATCACTTTTCAATTCAAACCCATTTCCTAACAGAGATCCTACAGCACGGATCCAAAATCACTCATCAAAAAAAAATTAGGACAAATCTAAGCGAAACCCCATAAACACGGCACTAAATCAAAACATTAAATAAAATGATGCAAACCTTGGCGTGATTCCACGCGTTGCCAATGGAGAGAGGGCCATGGCTTTTGATAACGCCGTAGAGATCTTCGGCGATGGAGGCGGCCTCGACAAAAGGGACCCTAGGGTTTATTTTTCTCAAATTGGGGGCGCGCTTCCTCGAATTCGTAGTGAAATACCGCAGCATCGTCGTCGTCATCTTCATCATCCCGTTTCCATTAGCGTTCCACATTTTTCACACTGTCAAAAACCAGCGAATATTTGCTAGCTCACTCAAATTGGGGGTTTCGGAGAAATGAAAAAACCCTTCTTAAATCTTTGGGGCTTATAATTCTTTTGCAATGTTATTTTAATAATAGTCTTTGTCAAAAATAACCCTGCAATTTTGTTGATTGAAATCATTGAGAAAAAAAAAAAAAATGTTTCAATTTTTTATGGGGCGTGCTAAATCCTATACTAAAATTTACTAAATCCCAACATAAATTAAAAAACAAAAATCTCTCTCTATTCATATTCTCTCTACTTTCTCTCTAAAATGATTTTATTCAAGTCACTGAAAATTCATTAATTTTTTAGGTGAATAATCATAAAAAATGAGTTTAGTTTTATTTAATATTTATTCAATTTCATTAAGCCTTTTTAATTATTCAAATTCATATCAGTTCGATTTTTTTCCTCAAATTCTAACTTTATTTTAGTTTGAACATGTGAAGATTTTTGTCAAATTCAAACCTGGAATGCTAGGGACGTTTTTAGTGTATGATTTTGTGAAAAAAAAATTAGAGAAAAAGAAGAGTGGGAAAGGAGAAGAGAAGATTTTATATAAAATATTTTTAATTATGTGCATGATTTGGTAAAATCAGTGTGGAATTTAACATTTCAGTTTTTTAAGATAGTTGTGGCTTTTTGTTCACTTTTTTATTTCAACTTGAATCACTGAATTTTGTATAAAAAAATATATGATCAAAATGGTACACTATAATTGTTTCAATTTATTATCCATCTTAAGATGTTTACTCTAAATTAATTTCAAAACAGAAAATAGAATATATCCAAACACAAAATTTATAGATCTAATTGTTGTCTTTACGTCCTAATTTGAATTGTTTAAATTAGATGAAAATCATTTTTTTTTTTTTTGAACAAGATGAAAAATCATTACGATCAAATAAAAATGATGTATTGGTACGCAGTTTTTGTTCAGCTTCTTAATTACTTTGATTTTCGACACTATTTTCAATTTGAACTTAAAAGCATCGGAATTGAAAATTATATTTGCATGAACATTTGTAACCAAAGCTGAAATCGCAAGTGATGATGCTAATTACTTAGATCACCTGGGGTAGTGTATAAAATGAACTGGGAGAGCAAAGCAGATCAGTAGCTTGACAACTTGATGATCCTGAGGTACCTGCGATCACAGAACACATGAACTAAGCCGGGGGTTGATCCGGCGGAAACCCTTCCGACGCTCAAGTCAGACGTGCTGATAGTAGAAATAGTCCAGAGAATACAATTAATAATATTGCTCAGATAATATGACGTACCTTAAGGAATGAGTTCAAACATTTATTTATAGCTTAGTTGAGATTGTCGGACCCAAACCTTACTTAAAGGTGATTGGGCCTCGGTGATAGTGGTCTTCGACATTGGGCTCGTGGCCCAGTAGGTAAATAATTTGTAGGCCCATTGGGTTGGGCCAATTAGGCATATCATTAAGCCCCCCACTCTCGAGTCGATGTGGGGGCCATGTTGAAATGGGTGACATATCGTGTCGAGAGTAAAACTTGTAGTAGTCGATGGTGTGCGATAACGCGTTGGAGCGTGTGTCGGAGGGGCGTGAATGCGCATTGGTGCATAGCGCGACCAAGTTGTCGCGATGTAAGTTAATTGAGTCGTCGGTTTTGTCCCGCGACGATGTAGCAGCGAATTATCTCCTCGTGGGAGTTGTCTCGTCGTGGGGTAATAGTGTTGATCAAGTTATCTCCTCGTAGGAGTTGTCTCACGATAATGTAGTAGCACGGATCAAGTAATCTCCTCGTGGGAGTTGTCTCTGGGGTAATAGAGTTGATCGAGTTATCTCCTCGTGGGAGTTGTCTCGTGATAATGTAGTAGCACGGAGCTAGTATTCTCCTCGTGGGAGTTGTTATTTATCGACATTGTCAATGTTTTGACGCGTTGCTTGTATGTATTTACATATAGCTTTGTGCGTGATGTACTTGAAGAGGGGATCAGGCTCTCAAGAGTTTTTTTATGGGGATCGTGCCCCTTGTTAGACCTCGTGGGTCGTAAGTATGTTTGGACCGTGGCCACGTTTTAATGAAGGACCCGTCGAAAACAAGTAGATAAATTTTGAGTAATCAAGCTGGCCAGGCTATATAGATTCTCATAATATCTCTAAGTGTTTCTAGGGTTGTAATCGTGCTAACTTGAGCTTGCGATTATGTAGTGCATTGCGAGCGAGTTTTCTCTTCAAGAGAGTTGTCTTGCAGCGAAGTTGTAGGAGCATTGGATGACGCGCGATTGAGGAGCGTGCGGATTGAGGTTGCTCTGAGCGAGTTGTCTCCTCGTGGGAGTTGTCTCGCAGCGAGTCTTATTATCGAGCGAGGTGGTTGTACGTGGGAGTTGCCTTGCAACGGATTTGTAGTATCGAGCGTGTTGGCTCCTCGTGGGAGTTGTCTCGCTGCGGGTTGTGGTACCGAGCGAGTTGGCTCCTCGTGGGAGTTGTCTCGCAACGGGTTTGTAGGACCGAGCGAGTTGTCTCCTCGTGGGAGTTATCTCGCTGTGAGTTGTGGTACCGAGCGAGTTGGCTCCTCGTGGGAGTTGTCTCGCTGCGGGTTCGTAGTACCGAGCGAGTTGTCTCCTCGTGGGAGTTGTCTCGCGGTGGGTTTGTCTCGCAAGCCCCCCACTCTCGATTCGATGTGGGAGCCTAGTCAAAAATGATACCGGATCGTGTCGAGAGTAGATCGGTGCTGTAGTGTTTCGTTAATCGTTGGCGTGGCATGGAGAAATAATATTTTTTATTTATCCGTTTGATAGCGAGCGCGATTTGGTAGGCGCGTTGAAGAGCTCGCACAATTTGGTTAAGCGAGGTGAAACTATCAAGCGATTTGGTGGAGCGCACAGAAATTCTTGCGCGATTAAGTAAAGTGCGTCAAAATTTTCACGTGATTTGAGGTAGAATTTTGAGAGTTGCGCGCGACCTCAGGTATGCGCGTGCTACGAGGTAGGAAAGGCGGTACGCATTGCAGAACTCTGATGTGCAAGAGTTCGCGCGCACTTGGGGTCCGTGTGCGCTCTAGCCAATATGGGGGGGGCACGCGCGCATGTCGTGCATGGAGAGAGAGAGAGTGTGGAGCTGTTAAGCATTTTATGAGGAGCTGATATGGGACTTCCTCGGGAGTGACGCATCATGTTGCTTTATTCACCTTTTCCATTTTATTTTTTTTTATTTTTGTCTTGGGAAGCGTGCCGGATGCGCGCCTCGGGAATCGTGCTCATTTTTTTTTCCTCGGGAACCGTGTCTGTTTTTTTTGCCTCGGGAATCGTGCCTTTTTTTTTTTGCCTCGGGAAACGTGTCGGATACGCGCCTCGGGAAGCATGTCGCGCGCACCTCGGGAATCGTGCCCGTGCGCGCCTCGTGAATCGTGCCCAAATTTTTTTTCTCAGGAATCGTGCCCGTTTTTTTTGCCTCGGGATTCGTGCCCGTGTTTTTTTTCCTTGCTTCGGGAAGGTGCCGGATACGCGCCTCGGGAAGCATGCCGGATGTGCGCCTCGGGAAGCGTGCCGCGCGTACCTCGGGAATCGTGCCCGTGCGCGCCTCGGGAATCATGCCCGAGTTTTTTTTTTTTTTTCTTCTCTTTATTTTATTCTTTTTTCTTTTTCTTCTTTTTCGTTTTCCTTTATCTTCTTCTTTTTTCTTCTTCTTTTTCATTTTTTCTTCTTCTTCCTGTCTTGTTTCTTTTTTCTTCATCTTCTTATTTTTTCTTCTTCTTCTTCTTCTTTTTCTTGTTTTTTTTTTCTCCATCTTCTTTTTTCTTCTATTTTTTCATCTTCTTCTTTTTTCTTCTATTTTTTCATGTTCTTCTTTTTTCTTCTATTTTATCATCATCTTCTTCTTTTTTCTTCTTCTTGTTTTTTCTTCTTTTTTCTTCATCTTCTTCTGGGGTCTCGCGTGCGTGATTTTACCCCCCCCCCCTTTTTTTTTTGGTGGTTTATGTTCACCCCTTGGGATGTTCTATTTTTTGAATAGGAAGATTATACTCGTCTCTTGCGATGTGATGTGAACCCACTTGGGGTTGAAAGGTAAGAGTGATGCCCAATCTTGGGATGAGTTAACCACCCAGTGTAGGATGAGGCGCTCGAGACCTATGGTCTGAGGTGAATGCACACGGTTGTGTCGTTGCTTCAGTGACAACACGAGTTGAAGCTTTCGCGGTCGTATGCTGAAGGTCCTTGTCGGTTATCTGAACCGTTAGAGGAGCAAGTAGAAGTTGATATTGTTGAAGTTTCGGCGATCATACGCTGAAGGTCCTCTTCGGTTATCTGAACTGTTCGAGGAGGGGCGGAAGTAGGCCCCTAGAGAGTCGATGACCCATGGCGAGCAAAATATTTTGGGGGCGCTATAAACCCCCAGGGAGTCGATAACCCTTGGCGAGCGAAATATTTTGGGGGCAGATGTAAGCCCCCAGGGAGTCGATAACCCTTGGTGAGCGAAATGTTTTGGGGGCACTGTATACCCCCAGGGAGTCGATAACCCTTGGCGAGCGAGATATTTTGGGGGCAGAGGTAAGCCCCCAGGGAGTCGATGGCGATGGTGCCATAGGTGGCTCCACATGTGGAGCAGGTGCTGGTATCGCTTTGGGAGCATTTGCTCCCATCGTGGCGATATATTGGGTCACGGCCTCTGTGGCAGCACGAGTTGAAGCTTCTGCTATCATGCGTTGAAGCGGATCCTCGGTTATTTGAACCATTCGAGGAGCAGGGAGTGGTGTATCGGCGAGTGGTGGGTCCCGAGGGGGGATCACCTGAACCTCGCGAGGTGGATCTGCAGCACGTGGAGGAGCTGGCTCCGCGGCACGTGGAGGAAGTGGCTCCGCAGCACGTGGAGGAGGTGGCATGCCAGATCCTCCACGGACTGGGAGGTTATTAGCTGTGTCATTTTCTCTCCGAGCTGACGCCTCAGGAGGATCTTGATTAGCTGTGTCATTTTCTCTCCGAGCTGACGCCTAAGGAGGATCTTGTTGGCTACGTGATCTGGTTTGCATCGTTCCCACAGACGGCGACAAAATGATGATGCTAATTACTTAGATAACCTGGGGTAGTGTAGAAAATGAATTGGGAGAGCAAAGCAGATCAGTAGCTTGACAACTTGATGATCCTGAGGTACCTGCGATCACAGAACACATGAACTAAGCCGGGGTTGATCCGGCGGAAACCCCTCCGACGCTCAAGTCAGATGTGCTGATAGTAGAAATAGTCCAGAGAATACAATTAATAGTATTGCTCAGATAATAGGACGTACCTTAAGGAATGAGTTCAAACCTTTATTTATAGCTTAGTTGAGATTGTCGGACCCAAACCTTACTTGAAGATGATTAGGCCTCGGTGATAGTGGTCTTCGACATTGGGCTCGTGACCCAATAGGTAAATAATTTGTAGGCCCATTGGGTTGGGCCAATTAGGCATATCAGCAAGGTTCGTTGCACTTAAAATATTTATCTTATTTGAAAATATTGGTTCTCCTATTTCACAACCCATCTAAAAGATTTTGATAAAATCGACCATAAATAGAGCAATATATTCCTTAAAACATTTTATAGGACTTTTGTAAATTAATAATTTATTAATCAATGTATAATTTAATGGTTAATAATTTATCGATTAGTTAGTATTCCGTTAAGTTAATATTCCGTCTGTCTAATCTATATTAATTTATAAAGGTTTCACTGTTTAAAATTTTGTTATAAACTATATAATTTCTTTTATATGCTATTTTATAATTTAATATAGGTTGCGGCTATATGCAAGAGTAACTCCACTTGTGTAAGACTAAATTAAAATTTTCAATGTATAAATACTATAATACCCTTATTTATTAAAAAATAAAAAATTCCAAACATGCAAGACCAAAAATTCAAAAACACAAAAAAACCTATCACAAGACCACAAAACCACAAGACCAACTCTCATCTTCTTCATCTTCCAAAACCCACAAGACCTTTCTCCTTCCTCCTCCATTAACCCACAAAACCTAGAAATTCAAAATCATCAAAACTCAACAAATCTTATAAAGATGGCAAGTATGGAATCAGAAGACATCAAAATAGAAGATTCTACGATGGAAGAACCCAACAATGTATGAATTTATGGGTTTTTTAGCTAGAATATCGATTTTCTAAAAAAAATCCCGCGCAAACGAATTCGACATGTACAGGTCGAATTTTACAGGTAAAAATCGACATTTAGATGTCGATTTTGAGGTATAAAATTCGATATTTAGATGTCTATTTTGAGGTATAAAATTCGACATTTGAATTTGTGCTATAAATTCGACATGTCAATGTCGATTTTTATCTATGAAATTCGACGCTTAAGTGTCGATTTGTAGAATAGTTTTTCGACACCTTGGTGTCAATTTTTGTTTTTTTCTCATTATTTGTATTTGGTCTTACATGAGAAAAAAAAGCCAATTTAATTTATGGGCATACTTGTTATTCCATCTTAATAAAATAGAATCTTTTGGAATCTTTCTTTAATTTGGTCTTGCACAAGTGGAATGAGTATTGCATATAGCCGCAGCCTTTAATATATTGTTTGTGATAGGATTTTTTTTGTTTTTGAATTTTTGGTATTGCACATTTGAAATTTTCTATTCTTTTTAACAAGTAAGGATATTATAGCATTTGTACATTGAAAATTTAATTTGGTCTTGCACAAGTGGAATTAGTCTTGCATGTAGCCGCAGCCTAATTCTATTTCTTAGTATATAGTTCTACTTTAGTCCATCATATTTCTACGTTATCATCTTTCAACTCTACAATCTATTTCAATATAGTCCTTCGATGCAAAATTTAGTTAACTTTAACAGAATCTTTTATTTATTCGATGAAATATTCTGTTCTCATAATTATTTGTAATAAACTAATAGCAAAATAATAATTACTAGAAAAATATACATAATTGAATTAGTTATTTTAAAATATAACATAAAATCATAAAATATATAAATAATTTTTTGGGATAATTATAGTTTTTGTCCCTATACTTAACATTGAAATGATTTTCGTCCTCAAACTTTCTCACCTGCGAAATTAGTCTCCAAAATCATCATTTTTTGATACTTTTAGTTCGGCCGTTAAGTTTTCAGGTTAAATTGGACGGAATGGTCATGTGTGGCACATATGATGTCCATTTGGTTGTTTAATGCCGAGTTGGGACATTCCCTCGTCTACTTGCCGATTAAATATGAGGTGGAGTGACACATCAGTCACCCCCCCATTTCTAGTTTGAACTCCCTAATTCCCAATAATTTTCTATAAACCCGTAAACCGTATCTCTAAATTCCCTTTATGAATCCTCCAATTGAGGTGTAATTAGGTAATAGCAGAATCACTCAATCCTAATTTCGCAAATTAATTTTCAAATGTTTTCTGGAGTTTTTTTTTTTTTAGAAGAATCGATCGATATTATTGGGCGATATCTGCCAAGTCCGAAGGAAGGGTTGCTCCCTCGCTACAAGAATGACCATAGATCGACACTAACATATGTGTCAATTTATTACCAGATCGTCTAAAAGAATCAAACGTACAAGATACAAAGACTCTAGATAAAGACAGACTTTGTTCAATGAATGCTCCAAACGGAAGAACCTAATGATTCTTGTCCCGAAGCGTTGTTATCATCTGTAAATTGTCCCCTTCCACAATAATGTTCGGCCACTCCTTTTCTTGTGTTGTGATTAATGCCCTGAGAATAGCATGGGCTTCTCCATCTACCACCGTTGGCCGACCGTCGAACTTGTGAACCATCCAAAACATGCACTTGCCCCTAGAATTGCGAGCGACAAGTGAAGTAGCATAATATGTCTCACCTCGCGGAAAGCTTGCATCCACATTAATTTGATCACTCCATCGTCCGGTGGCTTCCACTTCATAGGGAGTCGTTGAGGTTGTCTAAGAGACGAACGCAGTTGATGTTCTGACTGAATGCTCCTTGAGGTAGTCTCTACACCAACTCAAAGATTGCGACCGCTTGTAGACTGTTCTACCCGTGCATTTCTTTGTTCCGTTGGTCCCAACACTTCCACATAACCGTAGGGGCCAAGTTTAGCGAATCCTTGTCTAGGTTGGTTACTGGAAGCTCAAATAATTGCAAATGAAATTGGATTGAATGTAGTTTTAGTTGATCAAACGGCGGGCAGACCCAAATATCGCCCACATCTCGACAAGATAGGAGAACATGTAATGCTGATTCAACCCTAACTCCACATCTCATGCATTGTGGAGAGAAATATATTTTACGACGACAAAGATTCTCATTCGTGGGCAATATACCTGAACAGAAACGCCAGAGAAAGATTTTTATTTTTGGGGGAATTTGAAGTTTCTAGATGTATTTCCACCACTCCCAGGCCTCGCCACTTCGTCCAGCTTCCCGCTTCGACGGTCTCTTGTTTTTCGTGATCTCCATATTTAGTGCATTGTGGTAGCACCAACGGATAGTAAAATTGCCGTGTTGAGAGAGCCTCTATATCCATTTTCTGGAGTTGAAACATCACAACTGCGCAATAATCTTCAATTTTGGTAAGTTTCTCAAAAAAGGGGTGGTTATCTATGAGCTTTGATTTCGTATGGATTTGCGGATTTATGGGATTACGAACTAAGGTTTACGGATTGAGAGAGAAATGTGGCAAATTTTGGAATATGTTTGCTAGGGCTTACAGGATTGAGAGATTGAATGTAAACTGGGTCTACGGGATAGAGAGAGTGAACAAAAAAATTGGGAATTTGAGTTAGATAAGTTAGGGAAGAGTGTGAGGTGGATTGTTGGTGTGTTCCAACTAGACCTTGACTGCCAAATAGACATCACGTGCGCCAACGTGACAATTCCGTCCAACTTAATATGTAAACTTAACGACATAACACAAAATGTTAAAAAATGGTGAGTTTGGGGACTAATTTCGTGGGTGCCAAAATTTGAGGACGAAAAATCGTTATAATTTTAAAGTATAGGGATGTAAATTGTAATTATCGCTAAATATTTGATAGAGAATATATATAGATGACTATTTATAATAATTTAAATACGTTTCTAAGTTCGAATCATTTATCCACAAAAATAAATGATTCGTTTTATAATAATATAAATCAATATTTCGTAAAAATATTATTTTTTAGTTATATTTTTACAAGTTATATTTTCTTGGTTGCAAATATAATTTTCAAATTATAAATTTTATTATTTATTGAAAAAATCATGATTTATCAAAAATAATTCTAAAAAGATTCTTAAAAAGACTTAAATTTAACAAGTTTATACACCGAGGGATCATAGTGAAATGGGTTATAGAAATGAAGGATGAAAATGAGATAATTGAGACATGAGGGCCTAAAATGGAACAAAATATAAAGATGAGGGGTCAATTATGAGATTTGGCAAAATAAAAATATATTATGATGCCACGAGACCCCGGAATTAATGGTGAGTAGTTTAATCCTAGGAAAAGAGCAAAGGTTGGGAGATAATTGATGCCCTTGTGTCGGAAACTTGGAGCTATGAATTGTCCCCAGATGTTGATTTCTTCTTCTTACTCTTTTTTAAGGTTTTTTCTTCTCTCTCTCTCACTCTCACTAAATAATATTAATCACTAATTAATTATCAATAATCAATAATCAAGTGTTTAATTTCTTCTTCCCTATTTAAGGGCTTCTTCTCTTTGATCTCTACTTTTGCTCTGTTCTACTTCAGATGGATACAGTTGGCCTTCAGCCATGACTAACCCCTTTTGATTATTACTTTGTATGTATGTATGTATATTTCTTGAAGGTATATATATACACACACTCACCGCACGTTTTTATGTGTGTTATTTGTAACAGAAATATAAAAAATAAAAAGGAGAAAAGATTCAATTTTTAAGCACCCCATTTGCTTCTGATAGTGAATTGGTTGTGTTTTGGTGTTTTTTCGCAGGAAAAGGAAAAAGCTATAAATAACACGTGCTTATCAAGAATGCGTGTAAGCAAAAGTTGTCTTATTTACACTTGTATTAGTGGTAATAAATTTTGCTTACCCTTTGTTCTTTTGTCCATTTTATTTGATGTGCTTGGGAATATTTATTACATAGTTGATTTTCTGATTTTGCAGATGGGGTGTTATTTTCGTCGTGATTGAATGCCGTAAAGTCCATTCTTCGATAAAACTCCGTGATTCAAGGCGTAGGTAGAGAGATAATAAGGAGAGAAGCCTGTGCATTTGCCCTTTTTTTCTAAGGTAGTTGTTTTTTCAGTTAGAGTGTTAATTTTAAATGATCTTGATTAAACTCAAATTGTATTTGATTTATACATTCCAGATTCTAAAAAAAATAATGGCGAAAGACGGATCTCCGAAGCCGCATCAACTAAACATGAGGCGCAAGCGCCTCACGTACATCCTAGGCGTGAGCGGCCTCTGCGTAATCTTCTACGTATTCGGCGCATGGCAAGGGAGAGCCTCTCTCCCCTCCGGCCAATCAGAGCTCTCGAGAGTTGGATGTGACGAAACTTCAAATCGAAACTCCGAACTCCCATCCTCCACCGGAATCTCCGATCCGCTCGACTTCGAGAGCCACCACCAACTATCCGTCAACAGCTCCGAGGAAATCGAGAAGTTCCCGCCGTGCGACATGGCGTACAGCGAGTACACGCCGTGCCAGGACAATCTGCGCGGCCGCAAATTCCCCCGGGACATGTTGAAGTATAGGGAGAGGCATTGCCCTAGTAAGGAAGAACTTCTACGGTGCCTTGTCCCCGCGCCGCCGAACTATAAGAGCCCCTTCAAATGGCCTCAGAGTAGGGATTACGCGTGGTACGCGAATATTCCGCACAAGGAGCTTAGTATTGAGAAGGCCGTTCAGAATTGGATCCAAGTCGAAGGGGATCGATTTAGATTCCCCGGTGGTGGTACCATGTTTCCGCGTGGGGCCGACGCTTATATTGATGACATTAACGCCCTTATACCTATTACCGACGGGACCGTTCGAACGGCCGTCGACACGGGATGTGGGGTAAGGAAATTACCTTTTTTTTTCGCCGTTGTTGAAATTTTGAGTTTGTTGCATTCAGTATTCCCGTGTTATATCGAATTGCTGAAAAACTCCTCGTGTTATAAATATTAGCCAAAAAAAAAAAGAAATCCCGTGATGCAATTTTTTTAGCGCACGATCCCATAAATGATGGTTTTTAGGGGGTAGTTTACTGATAAAACTGTCATAGTTTGGATTTTGCTAATATTTTATAACACGGGGGTGTTTTTTTGACAATTAGAGTAAACACGGGGTGTTGAAAGCAATAAACCCGTGAAATTTTCGTTGTCTTTATAGAAGAGAATGCATTTTGATTCATTACATCTTATCGTGTTTTTTCTTTTTTCCTTTTTTTTAGGTAGCTAGTTGGGGTGCTTACCTACTGAAGAGGGATATTATGGCAATGTCTTTTGCTCCGAGAGATACGCACGAAGCGCAGGTGTGGTTCGCACTCGAACGTGGTGTTCCTGCAATGATCGGCCTCTTAGGCTCGATGAGGCTACCGTATCCCGCTCGGGCTTTCGATATGGCCCACTGTTCTCGTTGCTTGATCCCTTGGTTCAGTTTCGGTAATATGATTATCACGAATCATAGTAATTATGTTGTGTTCTATATAAGTCGGTCAACACATTCCATTTTTTGAATTTTGTTGCAGACGGGCTTTATCTGATCGAAGTGGATAGGATTCTTAGGCCCGGCGGGTACTGGATACTCTCGGGCCCTCCGATCCGATGGAAGACGTACTGGAGAGGGTGGGAGAGAACCGAAGAAGACTTGAAGCAAGAGCAAGACTCGATCGAGGAAGTAGCTAATCGCCTCTGCTGGAAAAAAGTCGTCGAAAAGGGCGATCTCGCCATTTGGCAGAAGCCCATAAACCACATGGAATGCCTCGAGAGAAAATCCAACCAAGAGAAACCGCACATGTGCAAATCGGATAGCGCCGATGCAGCTTGGTATTTCATACTCCCTCTCTTCCACAATAACTGTCTCTTTTTAGTTCCATTTTATCTGTCACTTTACATTTCCAATACTGCATTTTTCCTGTTTTAACCTTATTAACTCAACTCTAAGCATTAATTATCTCTTATAAATAATTAATGATAAAGGTTGTTTTAGTAATTTTTATGTATTTTTCCTAAAATCAAGATACATTTATTGAGTTTCTTAATCTTTGTGAAAATTGAAAAGAGACACTTATTTAGAAACGGAGGGAGTATTAGACAATAACTATTTAATATAATAAATTCCTAATTATATTCTAACACATATACAATATATACACACAAGGTACAAAGACATGGAAGCTTGTATAACCCCACTACCGGAGGTCAGCAATCCGAACGAGGTTGCGGGAGGTGCGTTGAAGAAATGGCCCGAACGGGCTTTCACAGTCCCGCCAAGAATCACGAGCGGCTCAATCCAAGGAATTACTGCCAAGAAATTCCTAGAGGACAACGCGATGTGGAAGGAGCGGATATCGTATTACAAGAACCTCGTCAGTCAGTTATCGAGGGGGCTAATACGGAACGTGATGGACATGAACGCCAACTTAGGAGGATTCGCCGCAGCGCTCTCAAAGTACCCAGTTTGGGTTATGAACGTGGTCCCCGCGAATTCGGATCCCGACACGCTGGGCGTGATTTACGAACGGGGTTTCATCGGGGCGTACCAAGATTGGTGCGAGGCGTTCTCGACTTATCCGAGGACTTACGATCTCATCCATGCGGGCGGTGTATTTAGCATTTATCAGGACAGGTATAACTGTAAACTCACTTTTTTTTCTTTTTTTCTTTTTTCCGTAAAAAGTTTCGTGCGGTTGAAGATGAATGTTGTTTGATGAAGGTGCGATATTACATACATTCTACTCGAGATGGATAGAATCCTACGGCCAGAAGGGACGGTGATATTTAGAGATGTTGTCGAAGTGTTGGTGAAGATAAAGAGTATAACAGATGGAATGAGATGGGAGAGTAAGATAGTTGACCACGAAAGCGGACCGTTTAATGTCGAGAAAATTCTTTTGGCCACAAAGACTTACTGGACTGCTGAATCCAACCCTCAAGGATAGCACTGAAATTTTTGAGTCTTCAATAATTCACCTTAGATTTCTTTGTCTTGGGGGATTTTTTGTTTTTTGTTTTATTGTTTTTTTAGACAATTAGTTTGCTGGTAGAATGAATTTTTTGTCATGTTTCTAGAATAATTTGGTTAGCAACATTCATATTAAAAGCGCTTCGCTCGATTTAATACAATTTTGTCAAAAAAATGCAGTCGTGAACTAGGCCGAAATGCAAGACCGGCGACGAAAATAAGGCCATTGCAACGAAATCTATGGCTTTGCGCAAGATATGCGACGGAACAAATAAATCGTGGCAAGCTTAGTATTTTATGCAAATAGAATGAATAATTGCTTTTTAATAATGAAAATAAAGGCAACAAATCAAAGGTGAAGTTAAAGAATAACCAATTCAATTTGCTGAGGTACTTGTTCTTTAAGGCGTTTCACAACTTGTTCCTTAGTAGATTCCTCAGTGCTATATAATTTATCGTAACGTGCCTCGATGATTACTTTCTCAAGCGCGACACATTTCTCAATCATGTACTTGAGTACTTCAACGTGATCCGGGACACCACAATAGCCACAAAACTTGAACACTTTTAGGTGCTGGTGAAAAAAGCTTCGAACTTTAAGAAGCCGGTGAGAAAATCTTTTCATTTTATCGTATCTTATAAAAGTAAACTTCAAAGCATCCGAGTACTGCATCTGAAAAAAGAAAATACGAGTGTGAGATTTTTTCTTGCAAAATTATTCAGAAAAATCAAGTAAAAACATACATTTAAAACGAATTCTTGTAAGTTGGGAGCCGTCTTCATCAAATTTGTCAGTCCCGTATCACTTGCATAACTTTTTCGAAAAATAAAACTTTCATCGCCTATTACGAATACCACCAACTTCTTCAGTTTAGGGAGTTGAAGAATTGTGGAGAGAAATGTTTCCTGTGAAATCAACCAAGTAAATATTAATAAGCGCTACGGGATCTCTAATTCTAAATAAAAGAAAATAAAACACAATATAATTCTATCGTCTAACCTCAAACGGTTTAATCTCCAGTGTAAGAATCTCCAATTGGAAATCGCAGCAAGCAAAAGCAGAAAATACGTCTTTGGCAGAAACATCACTATATACCCGACAAATAGATACCTCAACAAGCCTTGGGACGTTCTCAAGGAAGAGACTTTCTACTTTTTGAACAGTAAGTGAGGTGAGATTCGGGGCGGAAATCTTAACCGATTTCAAACAACTATGGCTGCCGTGAATAGAAAGTAAGGTGAGGTTTGGGGCGGAAACCTTAACCGATTTCAAATTGTAGCAGCGGGTTAACTCCAAGTGTTTTAAGACAAGGGACGGACCACCACAAGCTTCAACGTTTAATAATTCCAACGAGCGATCAACAACCAATTCTTCGAGCATCGGACATTTACTTTGGAAGAACTTAATATCCTCCTCTGTCACATCAACAGATTTCAAACACAATACTCTGAGAGACTTGAACTTGAGGTCAATTTCGGAACTAGTATTTCGAGTGAGCAACTCTTGGGGTAAAGAACAATTAATTAGGCTCGAGTCGCCTGTGGTAAGATCCAACTCTAACCTCTGCACGTGCCTCACAATTGCAAATTTAATCCATCGGGTAACGTCCTTCTGGAATGTTTTGCTCAACCTCAGACGGATTATGAAATCTTTCAAGATGGCTGCTTTGTGTTTTCTGAGGACACAATTCACCCATTTCACGTACTTTTCCCTCTTCTCTTTGCATGATTCGAATCCTTGTTTAGTCCGTTTTTGTAAAGAAGAGTGTGGATCAAAGTTTAGACGGTAAATTTGTTTCCACAAGTTATGCCAGCGAGATGAGAGAACACTAGTGCATACAGCTTCCTTGAGCGATAGTAAAGATAGTATATCGACGAGAATGTCGTCGGGCAAATGAGTTATCCGATCATCATCACCGTAAACTATCTTGGCACACTATAGGGAAAGAAAAAAAAAAGAAAGTTATAACACTCCGGGGCTTTTGTGATTCTACACCTGGTGAAATACACCATATAATTTCACACCATAGATCTGCACACAAACTATTTACGGTCCAATTTTGAGAAGCCATGAAGAAACGGCGTAACACAAGCACATACACGTGCATGTGAAAATTAGATGGTACACCTGGTTATTTATATTGGTTGGATTTGATCCGTAGATGTACATATAGTCACCCACTCATTCATGTGTTTCTGTGCTTACAAGATACTTATTCAATCAGATTCACCCGGTGTAAATAACCAGGTGTAGCATACCCACGCCCTGGCAGGTGTGTGTATATCCAGATTGAAGAAACGGATAAATAATTCTGATAATTCCCCAAAAAAGAAACACACAATCGGTTGGTTCAGATCGAAGAAAAGAATAATACCTAGCAATGAAGGAATAAATAATTTTATTTGGTTTGTTGAGAGAACTCACCTTCTTGGTTTGAAACTTGGCGACTCGCTTCTCTGCCATCAGTGATTCGATATTTGGATGATTAAAATTATTGAATTATTTACTCAGTGAGTCATAATAATTATTTAATCAGTGAATCATAACTGTTGGACTCCGATTAGGACTCTGTTTCCGAAAAAACACATGAAATTCTGTTTCCATAAATTCACATAGCAGGGTGGAAATTAGAATGAAATTTCTGAATTTCGCCAAATTTGATCTGAAAATATTTGAATTTGGAACTGTGTTTTTTCATTCCAATTACCGAAGTTCTGATTTTTCGAATTTATTTGGAACGGAATTGGAATTATATATAAAATTATCGGAAATTTCGATTTTCGATCCGATTTTAATTCCAAATATTTCTATGGTTTTTCAAAACATATAGTATAATTTTATGATATATTTTGTAATTCCATAATATTACTTACATTACATGTTATATGAAAAATGATATATGAAAAATAAAAGGGGTTATTTTACATACCATTGGCCACTAAATAAATTGGGGATAAACCCAAGCCCAAATCATCTTTTGACATACCTTTGGAGAAGCAAAAGTACAATACTACCCTTATATGCAATTTTCGGCTAAACTGTATTCAGCATTTCTGGTCCTGCATTTATCATTTTCACTGATTTATTTATTTATTATTATTATTATTATTATTATTATTATTATTATTATTATTATTATTATTATTATTATTATTATTATTATTATTATTATTATTATTATTATTATTTTAATAATAAACCTGTTTGTTAAATTTATATATATATATATATATATATATATATATATATATATATATATATATATATATATATATATATATATATATATTATTTTTTATTTATTAATTTTTTTTTTTTAATTTTCAAAACAATATATTTACTGTACTGAAAATAACTACATGTAACTATAGTACCTATAGTAATTCGTAGTTATGTTCGTTTTTTACCCCATATTTTTAGTCGATCAATTGTATACACACACGAATACTGGCTTATACAAAAGAAATTCATAAACTCCAACAAAAATTTACAAATTTCAATATTTTTATTATAAATCAGCTCAGAACAAAAAAAGTACAAATTGAAAATACACAAATATATGCATATGTAACTACATGTTACTATATGTATTAGGGCTGGGCAAAAATTACCAAATACCGATTACCACGGTATACCTACCAACAATTACCGAATAAATACCGAACTATCGGTTACCACTACATTTGGTACGGTATCGGTACCGTACCATTATCTTACGGTACGGTAGCGGTATTGTATCTTCAATACCATGGTAATACCGTACCGTACCGTAACTTTGTATTTTAAAAATTAGTTAATATATTTTACCCTTTATATTGTATATATAAAAAATATAGTCAACAAATATTATAAAATAAAAATAAAAAACAAGAATAAAGATATGATAC